ACCCTTTACTTTTCAACCCCTAAGAGAGACTAGCTTTTAATTTCTACTTGCAGTATCACCCTTGAATCAAATACAGAGGTCATGAAAGTAAAGGAAATTATCACCAATTTAAGAAGCTCCTGATTTTTCAAACAAATCATCCTTGTCAGTACCACAAGAAATGTAAAGAGAACACTTTGGAGAATATGAATACCAATTTTAGGGTGAAAAGGGTTAATACAACTTAAATGTTTTATTTACTTTAATATTTGATTAGTTACCTTTGCATTTCATTAATTTTGCTTCCCAAGTAAATCCGGAACCGCAGTTACAAGAGTATGTCCCTACTGCATTAATACAGGCAGCATCGTTGTCACAATTATTATTTCCGGTGCTACATTCATCCACATCTTGGGAGAAAAAGAGAAAAACGTGCACTCCAGTCAGAAACTTTTCTCCTTGATAAAGTTGGGCCGTGATAAGACAATGATCAGTAAATAACAGAGTGCACTTTAAAGGTTTTAAGGTTGGCCAAAAGGGTTCAGCAACACGACAAAAGATCCTGGAAACGCCGTTAGTTTCATTTAGACCTCCATTATGTCCCCGAGGAATTTTGGAGAGTTCAGTTGACAAATGTTACACCCGCACTTGTCCAAAAGACGGAAGTTACGTATTGCAATGTAGCTCAATCTATTTTGATAATGATTCTAGCTGTTTTAAAATCTCCAGAAAAGAGGTGGGCTACATAAACAGTCAATAGATTCAACGTTACTGTTATTACGCTATCAGTCCACTAAGAGAAAGTAAGCTTTGATGCGACAAATTATTCTTCTCTTACCCACTACCATTTGAGTAATTCTAAACTGAGTGTTGAAAGTAAACCTTGATTGTACTAGTTTTGTCAGGTGATTTTGCCTTCTGATTGGCTAAGTAAACTCGCGCCAGAGCTAAAACCATCACCACTTTTCTGCTTGCCTTTTCCCGCGCTTCAGGCTGTTGCTTATATTTACTTTGAGTTCTGATTGGCTTTTAATGTCATCCTGCTTTGCTCTGATTGGCCATTGTTATTATTTTGGTTTTGGATTTCGACACTCATTCGAAAAGCGGTCTTCATCAATCAAAGTTGATAATACAAAGATTACCTTCACACTGTACTCCCAGTGTATTACCGATGTCTTTGAAGCCGGCCTTGCATTTACACGAATAACCTTCGGGTAAATCATTGCAACTGGCATGCTGATGACAATAGTTTTGAGTTGAATCGGCGCACTCGTTAAAACCTAAGTTTAAAAGAAAAAGTTTTTTTACGTTGTATCAATTCTGGTATGACTGGAACACCACACCCGCCCTGACTGGACTCAAACCTATTTTGTATTGTGTTAGATATAATTTCCTAACACTCGTCGTTCAGTTGACTATTTCTTTTATTCTCTCTTTTATTACGCAAGTTATTAAAATGGGGACTAGCTCAGTCTCTCTATGAAAGTGTGGGTCACCGCTTATAAAGGTGACAGTTACTTAGCTCTCAATCTCTAACCTTCGTCATGCTTTAGCGAATCACGTTAAGCTACGCAGAGCGGAGTTCGCATACTAAGTAGATACCTTCGCGATTTTCACACTTTACGAAATGTCTTTCTAACTTAAATCTCTTGGTCTTACGGTCAAGTTCGGGTTAAACAAAAACAAGATTAACAATGTAAAAAATTGTAATAAATTTACTTACATAATTAAAATCATACTTGAAGAAATATCTTAAGAGAAAAGGGTCCTTGAAGGCTGTTGCTTAACAGCAGAATAAACACAAAATCCGGAGAAGAAAGGGCGTACCCAAGGTACCGCCCCTAAAAGAGCTGCTTGCTAGCCGCATAAGTTATCTAATTACAAATTCAGTGCGGAAGATGAAAAGTACTACACATTTACACCTAAAGTCACCTCTAAGTAAAAGAGGTGTTGAGCGTGCTAAGCATGGACTCTTCTTTCCATGCATAGAGATCGTTTTGCTTACGATATAACAGCTGTAGTCCTAGAAGTTGATCTGGTGTCCGGTTCGGCAATTGCAATGGGTCAGTTAAAGTTTCGTGGTATAAACTTATCGTTTTAATTATTCTTGGATAAAAAATGCAAACAAAAAAACAAAGCAAAAAAACAACAGCAGAAAAGAAACAATGAGAACAACATCGATGCTGCTTTTCTCTTAGAACAACAACAACAACTACGTCTTTGTAAGACGAAACACTCACCAGCGACGGTAGGAGCGGCTCGGATGGATATCAGTCTACATAGCAACTTTAACTCATTTGTGAAATCGAATCCCAACTCCATAATCTCATCTATGATTAACTCCGAGCAACAACAACAGCTGTTTTTCGGTTTTTCAATTCCCAAAATACAAAGGCAAGTAAAACAGAGCCACTGCAGCAATCTTAATTTTCGGAGAAGCAAACGATCAAACAAACGGCTTCTTTCTGAGAAAGTGATCATGGGCTGGCCACATTGACGAATAACTTGTACTTGGAATAGTTCTAAAAGCCAAAAAAAATCGTCTGTTTCGAGACCAATAACACATGACACAATGCTTTTGAATTTATTGTTTCCTGTTTCATTCTCGTGTTCCAACTTTTATTGTCTTTTGTTAACGGAAAAGTAGCACTTTTTCACAAACTGTAAGGGAATTTGAACCCCTACGAAGAGAAGCACTAATAAATTTGCGAACCTTTGTTTTTATTTCTGTTTTGTTTTTGTTGTTGTTTTTCTCTTTTTAGAAACAGCTTATATCATACAAACACCTGCCACTTAAAAGTAATTGTGTAGGTTTTTCAACTCAGCTAAACTTTCTTCATTTACAAAATTTTGATCCCTTTTCCTTCGCGAAACTCTTACAACTTAGCGAGTTTTTACAACTTAGAGAACTCCAAGAAGCACAGTCAGCCACCGCTACATGCGTAACAAAAATCACCCCACTGCTGAGAAACTGAGGAAATGTCGACCTGATAGGCTTTTTTTTTTTTCATTCGAAGTTGAATACCTTACGTCAGCGTTACATAGAAAATGCATGTAATGCTCGTCAGCCAATATCCGCCGGGAAATTTTGGTGCCTCCTTGTAGTAAAACTTCCTAAAGAGATACTAACGAATTTCGGAAGCTATAGACGAAAAGAATGTTTTCTGCTTTTACCAAACTTCCAAAGCGGTCGCTGCAGGTCAAACAAAAAGGATTAGTTCCGACCTAGGCTAAATCTTTAAGAACGCCGACCCTTTTATTATTACTAAGAGTATGTTTCCTTTTTCGAAGGAATCAGTTAACAAAGAAATTAATTTAAAATGTTTCGTCATCTGAGTATCATTGGAAGATACCGTCCGGCGAAAGAGTTCTTCTTTCATTAATTATTTTTTAACCCAAATAAGGAGATATCGAAGTCAGGGTAGACCCTTCGAATATTGACAGTCTTCTAAGAAACGTCATCTCACTAATCTTGAAATTGTTCCTAATTTGACGTAGGGCCGACTTGATAAAAAAAAAAAAAAAAAAAAAAAAAAAAAAAAAAAAGACTTGATAAATTTAACCTTACTACAGCTGAAGACGCGGTTACATAAAAATAGAAGAGGAAATTCAGTTGGATTTGGGAAGAAACAATTTGTTTGCATATCTTGACCAAAAACTATTCTTTTCTATTATTATCATTATTTTTATTTTTCCACTGCTCGAGGGAGTTTTAAAACTTCGCATTTAACCGGTAAGTTTATCGTGTTACTTACCGGCTACTAATCTCTGCAGTTGGATCAGAGTGGCGCAGACGAACACGAGCTGCAATTTTAAAGTAACATGAAAACCAACCTCAGTGTGAATTGAAAGTGCATCTATGTATTGAGGAAAATACTAAGAAACTTCACCTACCTTAAACAGAAAAGAAGCCATAGCATGACTCAATGACAACGACAGTCACCGGAGAAATGAAGGTCAAAACAGCTGGAAAGTACAGTTATGCAACCACTGCGGCGAGAGAGCATTGGTTTGTTTTTCTACTGACATCAATTAAAAGGTAAAGCACCTGTTGCAATTACGTCAATTTTTTTGTCCCACGCCATCGGTTCTTTAGCTTTCGGGCGTATTTCAACATAAAAGAATTACATAATTAAAATGCCGACAATGTCATTTTAATAAGCCCCTAAACTCCAGATCTTTCAATATATTTATTTCCTAAATTACTCTCGCCTCTCAGTTCATACTCATTTTTGGTCACTCATGAAACAGTGAAATGTGAGAGTGGTGTTAAAGTAACGTAGTAGAACATGTTGCGATAAAAGGATCTTCCACCGTACATTCTTCTGTGAAGATCAGCCTTTTAAAAATAACTCATTGTGACTGAAGACCTCAAGCTAATAACTAACTTAAATTATCAGCAGCTTTCATAAGAAGAGATTCTTCTAGAAACTTGAAAAACATGGAAGCAGCGGTTTGCCTTTTAAGTTTAATTGGGCCTTATTTAGCTTTCAAGAGCCCTGCGTGATGTAAAATAAACAAGAAAGTTTTTCATTGACTGTTGTCCCGCTTCTACTGCTTATGATGAGGAAAAAAATCTTAAACAACCCCAAAATTATTAGATTATCTTACCCAGTGCACAGATATTCTAATCATCAGATGTGAAAAGTTTTAGTTTGCAGTCCGTTGTACTATTCTAGAATAACTAATAATAAGGAAAAGAGCGAAAATCTTGAACATTTTGGCCAATTTTAAACGACAGTCGTTCGGTTACAATGTTGCAAATTATTTTGCTACTGGTCATTTTCTTTTTAATGGTGAGGTCACAAGACAGATCCGAATTTTTTTATTGGCATTTGAACCAAGGGTATTCTCAAATCTGGAACTTGCACCTCAAATTTCGCGCTGTCTTATCACGCTATCACCTGTCATAGTGTACATCCAATCAAATTCGGCACTTTGTGCCCTCCCCTCCCATATGTTTTTTCTAAAACAACTCCCACGAGTCTTTGCAAACTAAATCACTATATTTTCATGAGAGCCATTCGTTTGACCGGTACAGGATTTTGAAATATTTTCCTTCAAGTTCAAATAGTCCATGAAACTAGAAAGAAAGTAGTTTCAAAAGATGTCGGGACAGGTTTGTTCAAATTGTGGTGGAAGTGACATTGACATCGATCAAGCTCGTGGCGATGCTGTTTGCATGGGCTGTGGGTCTGTGCTCGAAGATAACATTATTGTCTCCGAAGTTCAATTTCAAGAAAATAACCTTGGTGGAGCTAGTGCTATCGGGCAGTTCGTCTCAGCTGAGGGTAAGAAAAAGTAATTTTCAAATCAAACCCGAACTCGTCGGTAATTTAGAGACAAAAATTGCTCGCCATGATTTCTGGTACACGTGGATATTTTCGCTAAAACCTAGTCAAAAAGACATCATTTTGTTTGTATTCGCTCAGAGAGACAAGAAAGAAGTTGAAATGAAAGAACAAAAACTTGGGTTTTTGAGTTAAAATATTCCTGTTCTTAGATTGGGGATTGCGGGATTCGAACTCCACAGAACGATATTATGATGGCAGGTTCAGTAACGGGTTTCGTTCTCCAGTTCGCCACGTAGGTCACGTGATCTTACGAGGGAACAATTTATTAGATTTATAATCAATCTAAGGTGCAATTATTTTACCGCGGCCATTAACTTCATTTAGTTTGAAACAGGAGCCATGCCAGTGTGGTTCATCCTGTTTCCTACATGCGTGGCTTCCATGTAACTCGATTTATATGTTTCAAATTGTGATCTTGTTGATGTTTATTGTCTCTTTCCCTTTTGTTAGGAAACAAGGCTGGAGTTGGCTTAGGATCCGCCTTTCGTCATGGACTCGGCCAGGAGTCAAGAGCAGTGACGCTAGAAAATGGTAATTATTTTCATGAAACCTTTTATTTCATCAAGATGTGGAGAGGCTATGTTGTTGAGAAAGATTGAAATTGCTCTTTGCAACAGATATATTGAAACATCAACAAGAATTTTGTGTTTTATCAAATATCTCTTTGTTGATATTTTCCTTTGACACTCGTACTTGTCTTCATGATGATGAATTAACTTTGCGATTAGAGATTGTATAATCAAATAGTGACTTTGCTTATCACAAATATAGGTTTCAACTTTTAAGTGATATGGAAAAGTTTATTAAACATTGAAAACTTCAATTAGTGACCAAAACGGAATTTCTCCTTAAGATATCAAATGAGTACAATATCAAGCAAACAAGAGATCAGTGGAAATAAAGGACAATACCATTAACCCTTTCACTCCCACAAGTGACCAAGACAGAATTTCTCCTTACAATGTCAATACAATATCAAGTAAGCAGGAGATGAGAAAAGAGAAGAATATCAATCATGGGATTATTAGTTGATCCAATACCAAATTCTCTGAACTAACATCATAAGAATTGTATGGCAGATAGTAAGGAGAATTACTAATTAGATCTTGGGAGTGAAAGGGTTAAAGAGACCATTCATTGATCCAAATTCTCCTATCTTATCTCATAATGCTGCATCCCTGGATTCCTGGAGAGGTTCAGAAAAACTTGTCACAAATTTTTGGTGCCAGGACTGTAATGCACTGTAAGTTGCTAATTGATTTTTAGGAAAAAGAAGAATAAATGCTGTTGGCCATCAGCTGCAAATGAATCAACACTGTATTGATACAGCTTACAACTTCTACAAACTGGCAGTTAACAAGCGTCTGACAAGAGGCAGGAGAACAAACCATGTTGTAGCAGCATGCCTGTACCTTGTATGCAGAACTGAGAAAACTCCTCGTATCCAAAGTGCATTTTGATAAGCTAATCAGTATGAAAATGAACACATCTGATTAAGTAACCTTTAACTCCCAAGTGTGATTAACACAAGAAATTGAAAACATGTATCCTGTCTAGGATTCTTCCATTCTTAAAATTTGCATTAATAACTTTCCTTAACTGTCAACCAACAGACATGCTTCTTGACTTCAGTGATGTTTTACAGGTAGAATAAATTGAGTTCTCTCCTATCCTCAAGGCTTCTCTTGTAGTTCATGTAAATTTAACACACACTTAAGTTTTGTATACATTTTTGACTTGAAAACAGTTACCAGTAGGATTATACTAGCCTTATTCTCATTTACTAAAGGCAACCATGAACTACACTTAAGGCAACCATGAACTCACAGCTGTCACTTTGCATCATTTTGTGGGGGTACAAATCAATTTTTTACATTTAACATAAGATTTCCTGTAGTGCTTATCCATCAGAAATGTGCAGAATAGGGATAAAAAATGCATTTCACTGACCAGTATATAAACACCCCAGGATGTTTATTGATATCGTGAAATATGTCCTTCTAGTGCAACATCTCAGTCACAAAATAGCTTTTTTTCCTTTTTTGGCAGTTCAAGTGGATTAAAACTAAGTTTAAAATTGTTTGAAAGGTAGTAAATCATGAACTTGACAAATGTTAATTTTTGCTGATTATTACTGTTTTTCGATAGATTGATGTTTTCACCTTGGGTAGAGCATACCTAAAGCTGGCCCAAGAACTTTATATTAACTTGCCTGCAGTTGGTAAGTCACATATGATTACAAAGTTTGTCATTCAGGAAACTTTCACTAAGGAAAAAAAAAATTTATAATCTTTACAGTTCTTCATAGATAGGAGAGAGAAGGAGTCTGTAATCTAAATTATATTGATAATTTGGAATTGGGAACCAGTGTAGGTCATCAATAACTTACTACTTCCAAGTACCAGATGTTGATAACAGCACACACAATTGCATGTAAAAAGAATGAGCAAAATCGTTAAAAGATAATTCCGTAGACTTGTTCGCAACAGCTAACTAGTATTCAGACTTGCATATTGGTGGAGACTTTAGGCAATTTTTTAATACACAAGATGTCATGAGACAAGTTTTGGCAAGACTTTATTGCTGTTTGTAACAATTGATAACTGATTGCAACAACCCTTTGGCTAACAGCTATCAATGTGTTCCATTTTTCTGGCAGATCCTTGCCTTTACATCCATCGTTTTGCACACAAGTTAGAATTTGGTGACAAGGAGCATGATGTTGCTATGACAGCATTGAGATTGGTATCAAGAATGAAGAGAGACTGGATTCATCATGGGCGTCGGCCTTCTGGTCTCTGTGGAGCTGGTGAGCAGTATTCATTTGTAGTTAAATAAATATAATGCCAAGAAAAAGGATAAAACTGAAGGCAGCTCTCCAGCTTGCTGTGACCCACTATCAGTTAATTCTTATCATGGCATGGAGTCTGTGGCATGAAGTGTGTTTTACAATTCTTCTTTCCCCCTCCTCTGTCTCCTTAATTTTCCTGCTTGACCATTGTACCTTCTGATGAACACTTCATCAAGCGTCTCTGACAGTTCCTAGGTACAGTCGAACCTTGATTATCCGGACCCCGATTATCCGGACTATTCGATTATCCGAACTTTCTTCTCTGGTCCCAATTTTTCCATGAATATTAATTAGTTGTGATCTTGAAAACTCAAAGTCGCAAAAAGCCTAATAATCCTTTCAAAAAGACTGTTGAAACAGCGTATTATCCTATGCACTTTTCAAAATTCAAAAGTGCGACGAGTCAAAGAAGTATTCTGATGCGTTCAGCTGATATATGGTTGGCTCAATTGTTTTGTTCAAATATTTTATCACTGAACATTCTTTTAGAAGTGACACAGGAATGTGATACCATTGTGGGCTACTTATTGGTGAAAAGCCTCTTGGTTGGCTCTGGAATAAGTTTTGATTTGTGAAACAAATCAGACAATTTTCATAAACCGGGTCAGTTTGGAAAAAGTGTTTTGAACAACTGATTTGGACACAGACTGAACAATTCCTTGAACTCTCATCTCAACAGCTCTTTTAGTGGCAGCAAGATGATTTCGAGCAAATAAGAAAATATACAGGAATGTGATACCATTGTGGGCTACTTATTGGTGAAAAGCCTCTTGGTTGGCTCTGGAATAAGTTTTGATTTGTGCACAATTTCATCAACTGGGAAGTGTTTTGAACAACTCTTCCCTCTTATCTCAACAGCTCTTTTAGTGGCAGCAAGATTGCATGGTTTTAACCGAACAGTGCGTGAAGTGGTTAAAACTGTTCGTATAAGTGACACTACTATAAGAAAGAGGTTGGGGGACTTTCGTGACACGCCTTCCAGTCAGCTGACCATTGACGAGTTCCAAACAATTGACCTTGAGGAGGAACAGGACCCGCCTTGCTTCACACAAGCAAGGAAAAGAGCAAAACAACAACTTGAGGAGTTAAACAAACCCGAAATTACTTCAGAGTTGGAATCCTTTCAGAAGTCTATTGAAAAAATTTTAGGAATAGATTCAACAAGGGAAAACGTACACCCAGATGATTTGGATAAGATCTCTGAAAGAGAAGACATTTCAAAGGATTCTAGTGATGGTTCTTTCTTAGTTATTCCTTCCTACAGCACACCTGATTTTGTATCAAACAGTGATATCAATAAAGGTACTTCAGAGTTTTTAACATTTTACTCTCTAACATTGACATGTAAATTCTCCATACTGTTCCATACATTTCCTTAGGCACTGACAAGGAAAATTTAGTTAAAAATCAATAGTGTTTCAAGGTTGTGATCATTGCTTAATTCTTATGAGCCTTAGTGCTTGACTTTCTAGTGATATATTAATGAGAAATTTGATGCTAGTTTCTTCAGGGGTTTAAGAGTTAACTGGCAGTTCCAGTGCTATTATCAATTTCCTCTTAATCCCAAATGAAAAAATAAATTGCTGAACTTTTATTTTATCTTTTTTTTTAAATCTAGATAATGAAAAAGGTGAAGTGTGTGAGGAGCTGGATCTAACTGGCTTAGATGAAGCTGAACTTGACAGGGTAATTGTTCCTCTCCAATTTCTAGTTTTAACCCTTTAAATCCCAGGCTGTAATTTAGATTCTCCTTTCAAGCTGCTACACAATTTCTTGTCAATAAGTTATGAGAATTTGGTGTTAGATCAAGATAACAACTTCAACCTGATAAGTTTGAGTATTCTCATTGCCTGTTTACTGAATATTGTATGGATATTTTAGGGAGAAGTTACATTTTAATCACTTCTGGGAGTTAAAGGATTATTGCAAGACTAACACTTATTATTTAGGCATTTTTACTTGATATAAAGCTACACAGACTTGTCAGACAGATGCTAGCTTGTAAATACGTTGAGCACTATTGTTCATTTACAGTGTATACTTAGGCCCTCCAAGTAAAGCAGTTGTAACTTCAGAAGTTAGCTTCCAATATGGTGATCTGTCTTCAGTTTTTAAAATCTTTGAAAGTTTTTTCTGTGTTATCTGATTTATTACCATTACCACAAAAATGAAAGGAATGAAAATAAAAACTGCATACCTTTGGCGACAATGGTAGGACTCAGTGACCCTTCCCTTCAAACCAAAGAGGTATCCATCTCCTCCTCAAGCAAAACCCTTTTTTTTTCCTTGTTTTTTTTGGAAGGAAATTTTGTCAGTTCTGCTCAGTTTGTATTTCTATTTTTTGCAGTGTCTTTTAAATGAAAGTGAGATTGAGATAAAAACAAAACTTTGGATGGAAGAAAACAAGGAATATCTACAAAAACAAAAAGGTGAAAATAATGTCTGCAATTATTGTTACCTCTATGTTCGAATTCTTTACCCAATTCAGATAATTTTGTAATTTTGTTCTGTTACACTTAAGATAATTTTAAAATTTCTAAAGTTTGTTTCTTTAAATGCCATTTCCTGTAGCATCAAATGGTAAACTCATCTTAGGTTCTTATTTAATTTTTTAGAAAAGGAAGAAAAGGAGGCGCGGGAAAGAGAAGAAGGAAATAAACAAGAACCGAAAAAGGTTGTATGTTGTTCGTTTTTCGTTTTAAGAGGGTGGCACTCTTAGTTAGTGGTCTCCATCATTAGATTAGTATTATTATTGCTATGGTAATTATTTACTTTTGTTGCTATAGAGTGCGCGTTAGTAGAGATTAATTAGAACAATCTTACTCTTTATTTCTACCAAAAAATCGTGAACTTAGGCAGCAGTTTCAGTAACTTTTTTTCATAAGAGGCTGCCAATGGTAAAATAGACGGCTGTGCCCGGAAAAGAGGCCGTAATACAAAACTCAATGAAGAGAGGTTAATCAGGCTAAACAGACGGCGGTAAGAGGGAGCAGCGATAACCGCCGGTTACCCCTTTATTGAAAGCTTTGCCATGAGTCGGCTACCTGCCGTAGAGAAATCTCTAGTAAATTCATCTTTTTGGGTTGTCACAGAGAAAAAAGCAATATAAGAAAAGAGTACCGACTGGTCCAGCCAGCACTGCAGGCGAAGCCATTGAGAAGATGCTGGTTGAAAAAAGAATTTCCAGCAAAATAAACTACGAAGTGCTCAGGGATCTGGAGACTAGCCAATTAAGCATGCCCAGTACCCCGGTGACGTCAACTCCTAAACCGGTTTTACAGCTTAAACAGGAATTTTTGACGCCGCGTGTACCCACTAGAAAAGGAGGAAGAAAGAGGTCAGTACTGACTATTGCCCTTGATTTACTAAGGAAGGTGGATAATTAGATAGTATTTTTCTTTCCTTAAAAAACAATGAAACATAACGACAACGACAAAAAACAAAGTAACAGGTGCCCACCTGACAGCTTTCGCACGCTTCCACTTAAAAAAAAAAAAAAAAAAAAAAGAAAATGTGATTTGCAGATATCAATTTGCCAGCGTTAAACTGATTCTTCTAGTATTGTTTGAATGCTTTTCAAAATCATGATAATTTTTAAATTTTAGAGATTCTTCCACTCCAATTGTCTCGCCCCTGGACACCTTCAAGAAACCAAAGGTGGGTGTACAGTCTATATCTCATCGCGTTACATTAACCATCTCAAAAAAAAAAAACTCTGCTAAACTTCACCTGACTGAACCCTGCGTCATGGCATTTTGATTCGTTTTATGCAAGGTACAGAAGTACTTTTAACTTAATGAGAATTACCGCAATTATTATCAGGAGAACATATTGAAATACCAATTGAGTAGATGACTACAGACCAAGAAGGACAAACCATAATGAAGATGTCCACGGATCGCAAACGACAAACTCGGAAATTCTGGGGAAAATTTCCAAGATAGACAATCCTGTAGAAGAGGCGTGTTTTCTTTTGCACCCCTTCCCTCCCCTTGCGCGTGCTTTTTTTTTTCGTTGTTTTTTGTTGTTTTTTTTTTTTTGGCATTAAAAAACGCCTGTCTGTTAGTGTAGGCTAAAATAGAAAAACTGAAAACGCAGAGTTATACTACAGTGGTGACATGAAGACTGGTGCGATTGCGGCACAATTGTTGTAAGAACGATTTATAATGTTAATAATGTTACATGAAGTGTGTATGTTTCTTTTTTTATTTATTTATTTTTTATAATGAAATGGTGGGGTCACTGTGGAAAAGCCGAGTTGTGGCTTTTTTGTGCGTATTCCATCATCGGTCAATGTTACCGCGAACCACTGTAGTTTCCTTTATGAATGTTTGAATCTACTTTCACCAGCTTGTTCAGCCTCAAGAATTGGCAAAGATGGAAGATAAAAAAGATGTCGTTATTGAAAGCGGGCCAGTGGAGTATGAAAAAACCGACGAGACCAACCCTGTGGGGGAGGAGGAGGAGGAGTTTGATGAACTGGAAGAGGAGGACGAGGAACCAGTGAGCGCAGTTCAGTTAATGGGACACTTATATGATGCCAGTAAGTTATTTTCGCGTGTTAGAATTACTGAGTTTAACTTGTTTTAAATTTGGCGAAAAACTTCCCCATAAACCCGATGAAAAAGGTAATTTTACTAACAATTTATCTTTCCTAAGCTTTTCTTGTCCTAGTAAGAGAGTTGCCGGCGGAAAACTAGACCTCCATTTGTTTTTCTTTTTTGCACTCTTTTGAGGGCGATTTAAAAAAAACAAACAAACAAACAAAAAAAACTATACAAAATTTAGCCTCATTGGGTGGTGCACGATAGACTTCTTCGCGAGACTTTTTTCACAATACTTTTGCAAGACTACCTCCAATTTAATTTTTAGTAAGGGAGAAGAGCAGGTTCTCTTGAAGACCAATATTGATGAGACTTAATAAGAGAGAGAAGCCGCGATTCTCAATTTGAAATTTGACGCGCTTGCTGATGGGAAACCGGTCGACCCGGTTTATTCTGTTCAACTCGTGGTGAGCATGAGAAAAACATTTGCTGGTTATTTAAACGAAGTGAAGCTATTTTTTCGCAAAACCTCGTTCTAAACTGTCTTCAACATATCTATACATTGAATTTCTGAAGAATGGCAGGAGGGCTCTTACTTCAAACCACCCACTCAAATAGATGAATTTCGCGATCAAACCTTTGTCTAAAACCGCAGCGTTCTCGTGCGACCAGTAATCGCTAAAAAAAGGGAAAACAGTCATCTTCAGAATTCATACTAACAATAACTGCGATTTCTTCTTTTTATTTATTTATTTATTTATTTATTTTGTTTATTTATTTCATATTCTTTCATGTTTTTGCAGATGTCGACGACGACTACGGGGACTTTGAAGATTATGAATAGTGGTTTCGTCAATTGCTGCCTCAGTACTGGATCTCAAAGCCTTCAATCGAGAAACATCAATGGAAGAAATTACCTCTTGGTCTATCTTCCTGACTACAAACTTTGACCGTTTGAAACCAACCAGAAGATTTGTAGTCTGCATTTCTGATATGATTACGTCAGATTACCTAGACGACATGCATCCTCGTTTCCAGAGAGGACCCTGGGAACGAGGTTGGACGACCTGCTGTTGTAAAAGAGCAGACGCGAACAGTTTGCGAAAGCAGGGCGTATTGAGAGTGACGTCAGTGAACAATAGTTCATCTGCAAAGTGCGCATTTTCGATATGTTTAGGTGTGAAGAGCTGGGGCGAGCACATTAGGGCTTGCCATTGCTTGCTGGTGGATTGTGCATAATTCATCCGATTAAGTAAGCGGCGGAGAGCAAGAAATTCGAACAAATGTAATTTGGAAGATGGTACAAAAAGTAAATGGTGTAACGAAATTATTTCAACAAACATAAGCAAACAGCTCAAAGAAATATATTTAATTTTTTTCAATACCTTAGTTTTTGTGGTTATTGTAATAGATTTGTGCTCATGTCGCACTCCGCCTATTGCTAAACAAACGTGCAGTGTTTTTTGAATCGACGCCTAAAGCAAGCGGCGCGTCAGTCGAAATGATGAGACCTGTCTCATTTGAAACACCGTCTTTTTCATTAAGAAGTTTTCAATATATTGTCAGGTTTATTGTAAATCTGAGTGAGAAAATTTCTCATAAGTGCTTCCGTAGCTGTGTCGGACAAAATAAATGACAGAACATAATTATCTGAACCTAACTTAATAGTGATTCTGCTAAAAGCAAAAGATAATTTAATTAAAAAGAGGACTAACATTGACGTGACAGTTTAAAAGTGTGGCCCCAGTGTTTTACAGGTAACACGAATTTTCTTTCGGTAGACGGTTGGTTATATTTAACCATTTGTTTCAAGACCGTGAAAACTACCCTATAATTGTAAACAATAATATTATAAAGCCGCCACCTTGTAATTATTTATTTATTGGAATCGCTCACGTAGATAGGTTTCATTTAGTTTTTAAAGAAATCGTGTAATTGAAACCATTTACTTGTTTACATATTCAGAGAGGACTTTGATCCTTGCAGAAAGAGTAGTAGGTCTATGTGTAGATGAAGTTAGAGCGATGAGTTTATGACAATCTATAAAATTGACTGTATATTTGTTATTCCTGATTGCCGCTTCCTGTACAAGAACAGGTGCAAAACAAAATTTGTGACATTTTTGACAGCAACAGAAGCACTTCTCACTTCTCACTTCTCACTTCCACCTTGGAATGCAAATCATCCTCAGCTTTGGGCGGGGTAGGGATCGAAAATTAGAAACGATGTTGTTTTCTTCTCTATTACAAACTCTGTTATTGCTCAAATTATTTGCCTCAACTTTGTCCAAGTTATCTTGCTCTTAGTCTTTGCAATGGCGATTTTAGTGCAAAATTATTTTGTTTGCAAGCTGCCTCATTTGTTCCACACATACGTTATTGGGTGTGTTCCCTCTCGCCTCCGATTTCACCGCTACTAGACTTTCAAACACCTGGCTTCGATCTTGGCACGTTCTTAATTCAGGTCGATGTAAAATGAATATTTTTCTGTGCAATGCGAAACCGCAGCACTCATACCTGTATTATCCATAATATTTATGTATTGCGTGTTCCCAGGATTCGAATACACGATAATGTAGTCGCAGGAGAGTTTGTTTTTGTTCATAAAGTCATGGCAAACCTAAATACGAGTATTCATTATCAAGAGCTCCTGTTTGGACGAATTTTTCGAAGGGAAAGCTAAGCGTATTCAGTGCTAGAGACCAAAAAATTGAATTCAAGGACGAAACTGAAAAATGTTTTTAAAAAATTGCGAAGGATAACAGCCGTACGTCATTTTAATTTACTTCCCAGATCATCCATCGATAATCCTGTTCATATCGAGCGATTTTCACAGTTTTCAGGCTCCCTGCGGTTGTTTTGCAAGGGCAGGATGGCTTTTTTCAAACCTCAATGAAAGAAAGTCGCAGTAGGAAAATAGAATAACTTTTGCTATGTTAATTAAATTTCTGATGCAATGTGTGCTCTATTTTTGAGACAAAAGGCAAGTTGGAAGCATGTGAGAACCCGTAGACTAGCGTGGACGGATCTTATTAGTTATTCTTTTGAACAAAGTTCAACAACGGATCACCAACAGGGGTACGGTAGGGCGGTATCAAATCCTGGCTCTATCTTATCCCGCGGTGTTGCAAATTTTCCATATAATTTGACAAATTCGAAATCAAGGAACAATTTCTTTGCGCAGTTATCGTTAAATGTTTTTTGAACTATTCTGTTGGCGCTGATGTCCTTATTTTGTTTTACAAAGAGACCCCACCGCACCCCAAGAAATTATCTAACCTTCTCATGAGGAGGCCACGTGATCCAAAGAATAAATTGCCGCGTGGAATTGATTGTTTTGGGATCGTTCGTTCGCGCCATTCTAGTTGTGCCCTCGAGCCTTTGAGTTCTACCTCCGTCTCTTGAACGGATACATCGCACGTTCAAGTGAACAGTACTCAGAAAAATGACCAATGAAGTGGAATTCAGTAGTTTAACCAAAGATGATGCGAAGATTACGTTTGAAGATCCATCGCACATTTCGAAACCGAGCGATGAAGAAATAGCTCAGCATAGGAAAACACGCTTGGCCCTCGTGGTGGTTTTCGCTGCGATTGTAATTGTGATGGTGGTAGCAGCCGTCATCATCATTATTGTAGCACCCAAATGCGACAAGAAAGAAGAAGTACCAGAGGAGAAGAAAAGCGATGAGACCCTCAAAAATGAGACCCTCAAACAAGATGAATGGTTAAAACATGGTATCATTTACCAAGTGTATCCTCGTTCTTTCAAAGACTCGAGTGGAGATGGAGATGGCGATCTGAAAGGTATCTTGAACAAGATGGATTACTTCACTGAGTTGGGAGTACAGGCTGTGTGGCTTAACCCGATTTACGATATGAAAAATTATACGGCCATCGATTCCATGTTCGGAACCATGGAAGACTTCGACAAATTTATCAAAGAGGCTCACGAGAAAGGCATCAAGGTAATCATGGGGTTCGTTCCGAATCACTCTTCAAATAAACACCCATGGTTCTTGGAGAGCAAAAAGGATGACAAAAACCCTTATCGAGACTACTACATTTGGAGAGGTGGTCCTGCAAAGAATGAAACTCCAAACAACTGGATAAGTGTGTTCGGGGGAAGCGCTTGGACCTTCGACAACACCGCGAAGAAGTTTTACCTTCATCAGTTCAGCAAAGAGCAACCCGACTTGAATTTAAGAAATGAAAAGGTGAAAAAAGAACTCCAGGGTGTCCTGAAGTTTTGGCTTGGAAAAGGAGTCGATGGCTTTAATTTTGATGCTGTGCAATTCCTGATTGAAAACGAGAATTTTGGTAACGAAACCCAAAATAGCAACTACAATGCGTCAGATCTGAAATACGACATGCTGAAACACACACTTACGTTTGGTAAGAAGCTCACTTTGCTTTGAAATTTAATTCATTTTGTTTAGTAAACTTTCATGAGGGAGTTTTTCAAGCAATAGATCGCTGCAGTGATCTTGTATATAAATTTTACTTTGACTGCAGCTGGTTGTCTTAGGTTATCACAGCGGAATTACAAATTGTGCTCTTGACTGTACTCGTTAAAGCATGTGGTGTTTCTCTCAGCGTTCTGGTGATTTCGTTTCGTGCGAGCTACTAAAGACAACTCATTGTTTGGCCTTTCTTGTCGCAGCACGTGAATTTTTTGTTTACATTCCGATGACTTGACCTGCGAGCATGACATATTGTCACTTAAGGATGTCACACAATTTATCAACAAGCCGTGTACTTCGCGTCTCCTTATTTCAATCAAAGGAAACTTGAATTTGTGAAGGGAATTTTGCTTTTAAGGTTGATTTTAACTTCAGAAATTTTTTCTCAGGTTTTTTGCAATCAATTAATAATTTAGGACAATTTAATTGAAATACGAATTTTCATAAATTGTGGTGACCACTGTAAGTGGCATTTATCTTTCAAGAAAAATAAAATCTTAATTTTATTTAACCTTTTGACTCCCAAGAATATGATTCTCGTGATTCTCTTAGTCTGAGTTTTTATGTTCTCCATGTGTTTAAAGAATGATGATCTTTTATTAACTGATAGAATTAAATGTTAATCTTTGCATTCAGATCTTGATGCTAGCCGAGCCCTGGTGAAGGAATTCCAAGATTTCCTGAACAAGCAGAATGGAAGCCTTCCTATTTTGTTCACAGAGGTGGACGGACCTTATGACAAGACTTCCAAGTACTACGAGGTGTCAGACATTCCATTCAACTTTGGCCTGATCACCAAACTCAATGAACAGGGAATGACACTAGCTCAGAGAATCAACAAAACTGTCATGGAATACTTGGCCAGCATTCCAAAGGGCAAGACACCCAACTGGGTCACTGGCCATGACGACCATGAACGTGTTGGCAACAGGGTGGGTGAGCAAAACAGACATGCAATGAATGTCCTTGCACTCACTCTGCCTGGTATGGTTAGTACCTACTATGGGGAAGAGATTGGCATGTTAAATGGTAAAACTACAAATCCAGATGACCCTATGGAAAGTGCAAGAACCCCTATGCAGTGGAATGCAGAAGAAAATGCAGGTGAGTGAATTAGTTTCTTGTAGGTAGTCTTGATATAAAACCCAACATTCTCTTGACCTAAATGTACGAGATCCTCTTACATCTGGTATGAGGCAGAGTTACCAATAAGATCTTGGGAGGTTAAGGGTTGATTCATTGTGTTCCTGAAATATCTGATCAACCCTTTATCCTCTAACATCAGTATCCATATTCTCCATACTGTTCTCCTTACATTTCCTAAGGTGCTGATGAGGAGAATTTGTTTACCAATCAAGAGCTTCTTTGCTTGGTGATCATTTCCTTTTTTCTCATGACCTTAATGTGTGATTCAGGGGTGATATTGTAATGAGAAATTAGATGTTAGTCACTCTAAGGGGTCAAAGGGTTAAGAATACAACAGACTTTCAATGGTGTCCTTGGTGAAAAATATTGTTAAAATGCTTTTTGTAGGGTAACCACCATCATCAGTTTGCACATCACAATTTTACCAATACACATGACATGGAAGGCCATCGTGGGAGATGAAATTCAGCCCTTGAATGTCTACTGTATCCATAGGTCACCATATTACTGTTAATATTTTTCTTCATTGTGATTACAGGCTTCTCTACAGTCAAACCCTGGCTGGAAGTTGGCTCGGATTATAAGTCCATCAATGTGGCCACTGAAAAAACTGACAAAGATTCAATCTACAGCAAGTACAAGGAGCTTGTTGGGCTAAGAAGGAATGCAAGTGCCCTAGTTGAGGGTGTATTGAAAGAGGTGCACACTGATCTGCAAGTGTTCTCTTTTATTCGCAGTCACGAAAACCAGCACTTCCTCATCATCATCAACTTTGGTGACAAGAGTTGGAATGGTGATCTTGACAAGATCTCAGGCAGGGGGACAGTGGTATTTGATACAGAATCCAATATGGTTGGCCAAGAAGTGGACGTCAATAAGATAAAACTTAATAGAGGTCAAGCCGTCATTTTGAAAAATGGCAAAAATGAGTGGCACTTGCAATAGAAAGCTTTAAATTGATCTCACAGGTTTTCTTTTTCCTCACTCCTCAGTCTACAGTTAAATTTTAATTGCCAAGCAGCAATAGTAATTGAAGTGGGAGAAACAAAGTTTCCATTTAGTGGTTGACTTAAGGAAAGAGTAGAAAGAAAGCTAATGGGATACTAGCCAACTTAATTTATTTCAATTTTTAGACATAAATCATACGCTTTATCTAATGAAATACTGATAGTTTCAGTATTGAAGATTACAGAAAAAGCATTGGTTTGTTTCAAGGGAAAAGTGTTTTGTTAGCTCAGCTGTAATTCACGCCATTCAAGGACTTGACATTTCCCTCTTTTTAATTGAACCTAGAGGTATACTTTATTCTGACGTCCTTTGTGGGTGTGTAAATTACACTGATACTTTAATACACATTCAATTGTTCATTCAAAACGTTAATTAGGGTAACTTATCATCAGTCTCATCTTTCCCATACATTACAATACATGTACTTCTACCTCTTGGTTAAGTCTATTTAATTGTTATTAATTTTTTTAGAAATCACACAATCCAAGTTCTTCCACAAGACAAAGATTTCTTCAATCATTTGTTTTATTTTGATGAAAAATACACAGATTATTTTAATGCATACTAGAGTCTTAACCCTTTAACTCCCAAGAGTGACCAAAAAAGATTTTCTCCTCACATTATCAATACCATACTAAGCAGACAGGCGACAAGAATTTCAGAAAATAAAATTGAGGGATTATTGGTTGATCCAATACCAAATTCTCTGAACTAATATCATAAGAATTGTGCAACAAACAATAAGGAGAATTAATAATAAGATCTGAGAGTGAAAGGGTTAAAAGTCGTTAGAAATATATTATCAGTAGGCTCAAATGTGAAGTGTATATTAATATGGCTTAAAGATTTTCAGTAAGGTATGCTAGTATGAGTTTGTTTAGTGGGAAGTGTAAGATGCAGACTAGCAGAGAGCCTCCAAGAGAAAGATGGTCTTCAAAATTGGACACTATAAACCATTCTATGTAATAAGGTCATCACAAAGTTAAAGCATTGCCTGTAAGTTATTATTAGTGCAGTAATTTTCATAGCCCAGTGGCAGTAACTTAGAGTTGTTACATTTTCCATTTTGCAATTTGAGATATTTTTGAAGAAGTATATGTTGAATATTCCTAGGCAAGTTTCGGGTAGAATTCACAAATTACAATTTTTCTTCTTTCAATTTTTTTTGTAGTTATATACCAATTCCAGTTCAAAATGTTTATTTGCCAAGTAATTTTTTTGTTATCAAACAATACCTGGCTGAAGCATTTTCTTGTGCAAGGATGAACCAATAACTCTTTAACCCCTACTATATCACCCCTGAATTATACATTAAGGGCTCAAGAATTAAGGAAATGATGTACAACTCAGAATGCTCTTGATTATTGAACAATTTCTCCTCATTAGCTCCAAAGGAAATTGTAGAGAAAAGTATGGAGAATATGCATGTTGATGTTAGGGTGTTTAAGGGTTAAATGTATGAAACTTGAGATTCTTATAGGTTTGGTTCTCTTTAAGGGTGAAATCCTACAAGAATGTTTGTCAGTATTTAAAATGTACTTCATTCAAATTAGTTTTAATTATAACTTCAACTTCTGTCTGTTATAACCATTATCAGTCTTCCAGGGATCGTTCACTATTCGTGTGTCACTTACCAGTAATATTTAGATGGTACCTCAAGACGTAAAATTTAATTCAACCTTGTGGCAATATTTAATAGTAAGGAATCATTCCTAATTGGTGTAGGTTTTGATTGTTCCTTCAGAGAACCTTGAATATTGCAGTTCTGTTAGTTTAGTTTTTATATAATCCTATACTATTGATAATGCAATTACTGAAAGACTATTTGTTAGTAAGCAAGTTGATTATCAGGTTGTTAAGTGTAGCTGATGGAGATTAATCCTTTGTAATGTTGAGGGTGACCATAAATGAAAAAAAAAGTGTGAAATTATGTCTTGTCCATGATTTCAAATCAACAAAGTTAGCCTTGTTCATGATTCACATCAGAATTGTTGGACTTTTTCCTAATGTTAACACAGAAGGGTCAGTTCTTTTCACCTCCTTTTAGTGCAACTCATATAATGGCAATCCGGCCACATCTGCACAACCATCCTCAGAACTGGCAGCCAATGCATTCTTTTGGAAAGCGTGGCATGACATCTTGAAGAACACAAAGACTAGCCATTCATTATCTTGCAGTTTTATATCATACACCTTGTTCATGCTAGGCTGAGTTAGAACATTCTAATTTCAACAAAGCGAAGTGAGTTTTCCAGCTGACCTTCCTCAAGTTGTTGCTTAAAATAATTTTGCCTGTAGCTTTGTTTTTTAACTATAGTACAGTCCTGCTCTTGTGTATATCAAAAATCTCCTCAACAGGACTGGTGCACCAATTGCAAGTCTATAACCATACAATAACCCATACATGCCTGCAAGTATATGCCTCAACCTCTTTTCTGGAGCATTAAATCCTTCAAAACATTAATCACCTTTCGTCTATCAGTGGTTCAACAAAGTAATAGTTCCAGATGGGCTCCATTATTTGGCTAAAAAGTCGTTTACCAACTTAAAACAGTAACGGTGATAAAACTGTCTGTTACCAACAAAAAGTTTCTCAGTTCTTTCAGGAAAAAAAAACAGGAGAAAGTTTTGCTTCATTATTTCCCTTGAAGCTTTCATGATTGTTTTGATCTTAAGACTGCTTCCAACTAAAAATTTAAATTGACTTCCCATTTGAAAATTACACTGCTTATAGCATCAATTGTTTACAGAAAAGATGACACTTTCTAGGTCATGCTAGCTTAAAATTACAAAATTTATTGGTTGTGCCTCCTATCTTACTGACTACATATGAACAAATATTTTCAGCACCACCAGCAATAATTTTTTTTTCACATTCTGGGTCTTAAATCTATGAATTAAATCAATCATCCCTTTTCTCTTTGAAAATGTCCTGATGTTGAAAAATTGCTTTTTTTTTAAAAAAAAAACCATCACTAGTAAATGATGGCAGGCCATCTTTACTAATATAATACTAGTGTTCAAAGAAAAAAATGAGGAGGAGACTTACAACTAGAAAGATAAACTTTTAAGAAATATTTTGTCATGTCAGGAGCGTGTAGAAAAAGAAAAATTCTGGGTCCCCATGAGGAATTAAAACTCAGATCTTTGTATTCAAAGCTCTGCTACTGAGTCAGAGACTCTGTGGTAAGTTAGGCCATTGCAACCTTATAAGTGACACACATCCTGCATGCTGCTCTGTACTGCTAGGATTAACAATTTCAAAGACATCATGTGTGTACACAGAATAAGAAAGATAGTAAATTTTGAGCTTCTTACTTTCAATTTATACCTTTTTTGTGCATTAATACTGTACACATAATTACACAGTAAAAAATTTTCAAATTTTGACATAGTTCTTATTTCAAATTGATTATTTGAACTCTTTATCTTCATTTCATTGGGTACTTTACACTTATCATTACATCTTTTTCAATCTGTATTATGAATTAAAATTATTATTTTCAGGTTCAGTTATTTTTAATTGATTCTTGAACACAACCATGTCCAGTTGACTCCACTGAAGAACGGGTGTGACTTGATCTCCTCGACACCATTCACACCAGAACCTACACCAAATAGTTAAAAAATTAATGTTATTTATCATATTGGGTGTACTCAATGCATATTCTTTATACTGTTCTCAATACATTTTCTTGAGATGCTGACGAGGAATTTGTCTAGCAGTCAAGAGTTACTTGAGTTTGCTATCACTTCCTTCATTCTTAAACCTTTAATTCCCAGAAGTGATTAACATCTAACTTCTCCCTGCAATATCCATACATTATCCAGCCAACAGGTAATGAGAATACTCAAACATATCAAGTAGAAGTTGTTTATCTTGATCTAACACCAAATTCTCGTACCTAATTTAAAAGGAAATATGTAATAGTTGGAGGGGAGAATTGACAATCAGATCTTGGGAGTCAAAGGGTTAATTGTGACCCTAATATTTGATTCAGGGGTGATATTGAAAGGAGGTTTAGATACTAGTTACTCTTAGAAGTGAAAGGGTCACATAAGTCAACGAAAAAGTCCTTTGAAACTCTATGAAGAGTGTCAGTGTTACTACAGTACTAACATGTATCAAAACTCAAACAGAACTCACCCAGTCTTTCAGATGGTGTGACTCTCAGAAGCTGTAACATTAAAAAATTAAAAATTAAATCTTTTTTGTGGAATTGACACCTTAAAACTGTCATGTGTATTTGGAAAATCTTCACCGATGAAGAGGATGAACAAAAATAACATAATATCATTTAGAAGCCATTTAAGGATGTTTAATCTGGTCTACAAAAGAAAGTAAAAATGATCACATTGAAAATCAAAGCAATGAGCCCCTATTAATAGCTATACAGCAAAAGAGAACTCATTGAAATAACAAATATGCATTCCAAGTTCAACCTTGAAGTAGAGTTTACAAGTAGAAGTAGTTTACCAGTAGAGTTTACTCTTTGTCTCTCACCTCTCTCAAAAGGGATTTTGCCTCAGGAGAGACTTTGTTGGGTAGATGTAACTCAGTATGAGTTCTTATTCCCCAGGGATGTGCAGTTGACAGTGCCTGCAATGAGTATCAATAACAATCAACATTAGTATAAGCTACACAAATGAACAATGGGTTTACATGGTGCTGAATGATTAGCCTCAAGTTGATCAGCAACAGAGCAGACTCTAATTCCCTTTCAGTAATAGAAGAGAAACAATTATAATTTCCTCTCGAAGGAGGATTGTTCATGTTATTATCATCAATAGTAACATTAACCATTTAAATCCCAAGATCTAATGGATATCATAAGGAGAAGTTACATGGAATAAGAAAGATGTTAAGTTTTGAGAAAATATAGAAAGATGTTTTACATCTTGTCACAAGCATGGGACAGAGAAAAATTCTGAGTACCCATGAGGAATCGAACCTCACACCTTCAGATTCCACTAAGAGCCACAGAAACTCTATGGTGAGCAAGGCCTATTATGAAGTTCATATATCACATGCATCCTACATACTGCTAGGATCAGCGATTTCGATGGTGTCATGTTTGTAAATAGAGTAAGAAAATGGTAAGTTTTATGCGCAGTAGAGAAATAGTCAAGAGAAAGATGTTTTTCATCTTGTCACAAGCATGAGAGCACAGAATCTTCGACTCCTTGTGGTGACTCAGAATTATTTCTTTGTCCCACGTTCATAACAAGACAAGAAGTTACATGTTAATCACTTCTGGCAGTGAAAGGTTTGATGCCTCAAGCATGTCCTGAGTAAGACTGCACTTAGGTGTTGGAATGATCTTCTTCCAGTTACAGCACAAAATTTAAATCGATATCGAATACATGCAAAAAATACAAACATCCTGCTCATACCTGCCCTGTGATTATCTCATAAAGCAGAGCACCCACACTCCACCAGTCAGCAGCAGGAGTTACATCATCAACTTGCCATATCTCTGTTGAAAAAAAAATATAAAAAAGTCACCAAAAGCTTCAACAAGACTTAAATAATAAGTAGATCAAAACTACATGTGACACCTGGCCTTGTAATTACTGTAGGAGATCAAAACTTTACAACTGTTGGGAGCTGTCTGAGTAACTTGGCAATGCATTACCTAACTTAATTATATTTGATGTAACCTTCTAAAGACTGATAGCAGATACATTTACATATCAAATAAATGCACAACATATAAGTGTACAAAACATCTGTATCTATCTCCCTTGTTAAAAGTCGATGGACATCCAAAGGAGAAGGGTATGTTTACACTGCCAATCTTTTTAATCATGTTGGAATATGTAATTTAACATAATTATTGAGTCAATTATTAAAGGCTTGGTGAAACATCATTCATAAATTAAAATAACATCTAAGTTTAATGTCAGCATCATAATATTACCAAAAGATCATTACCTGGAGCACAGTAAAAGTGATTCATTGCTGTCTCATCTGGAATGTGATCTGTTTCTTCCCATGAACCAAAGTAAGTGAGAAGGATGTGGCCTTCTTCATCAAGAAGAACATTTTTGGGGTGCAAATCTCTGTTAAAATTCAAAGCTCCATTTCAGTCAATATTCTATGATCCAAAAACAAGTTAATGCACTCCAACACAGTTAATTTTGAGGTACGATGCTTTACAGGGGAACCATTGTACAAAGACCTTGTCAAAACAAAGGGAAGAAAGAAATAACCAAAAATACTGTCTATAAACATTTTTCCCCAGGAAGAGTTGAGACCATCCCAATTCTCAGTGTAAGGCATCTTGCTCTAGAAAAGGGCACCATGAACCAGACAGACTTCACTCCCAACCATAACTCCATAGAGTGATTAACATGTAACTTCCCCCTATAATAATTATACATACATTATCCCACAAACAGGTAACGAGAATTCTCAAACTTATCAGTTAGAAGTAGTGATCCTGATCTAACACTAAATTCCTGCAGGTAACCAGTTTACAAAGAAATGTTTAGCAGCCAGAGGGGAGAATTAACAATCAGATCTTGGGAGTTAAAGGGTTAATGAGTTTAAGTCATGATAACTGTACCTGCAAATAATCCCTGCTGTGTGTAAGTAAGCAACAGCTAACACAAGCTCTGCTGCCCAAACTCTTTTGTGTTCATCTGGTACACTCTGAGTTGAAGAAGCAAAATACTCATCTAGTTTCACAAAAAGTGATTGTTTATCATGTGCGGCTTTGTTTTCCCTTAAATCTTCATTTTCTGCTAAGAGCTCCTCATTGTTACAACTGTGTGGTTCTGAAATGTGATGGTCATTTCCATTTCCAGTAGTATCTAACATTTCAACAGCTTTTTGAGTAACTTTTGAAGAATGCTTGCTGTCTTGCAAAGATGAGGAATTACTCTCAATAGAAGTTCTATACTCCAATTTTTTATCATTTGGTATGACCTCTCTTTCCAAGTGAGCCACCTCGCTTTGAGAAAGAGGAGCAGCATTT